TTGCAAACCTATCCTATCACACCTACAAAGTACTTCTAGTTTCATACTTGTTCTAGGTAAACTGAATGTCAAGCGTGCGTAGAGTTGTATCAGTGGTCGATAGAACTTGAGGGAATATTTGTTCTACCTTTAGCTCCTCGTTGGGTTCGACACTCTTACTTATCAAAAGAGCCTACAATTGATCCCCTATACTTGTGGGTTATCAGTAGTGGAAACCAAAGTAGAGATAATAGTGCGATTGATTGATTTGTGTGCTTAAGCTAGCAGTTTGCCATCACCCTAACATTAGATAGGGCGGCTGGACTTCCCGTGCAAGTCATGGTTTACATGTTTGAATTCGAGTACAGTCCCTATCTAGCTGAAACTAGGCAAGACTACGACTTCGTACTAGAACCGGACTCCTAGTGTCCGTCTTCCCATTCATCGCAACATCCTTCCTTTGTGCCGTGTATTTTCGAAATCTTTTTGCCCCAAATCTGAAACCATGTTCAAATCTACTGATGGTAGCCTTTCTGCTCTTTACTGCCTACTTTTCATATCCTGGTTTTCCAAGCTTATTCCTCTGAGGACCTTATACTATCCAGAATATCTTCTTCAGCGAGAGAACTATAGAAAACGAGTGTAAACATCACCAAACGACCAGTACCGCCGCAAGAAGGAGCCACCGATGATAACCCACAAGTATAGGGGATCGCAACAGTTTCCAAGGGTAAAGTATTCAACCCAAATTTATTGATTTGACACAAGGGGAGCCAAAGAATATTCTCAAGTATTAGCAGCTGAGTTGTCAATTCAACCACACCTGAAAGACTTAATATCTGCAGGAAAGTATTTAGTAGCAAAGTAGTATGGAAGTAACAGTAACGGTGGCAAAAGTAACAATAGCAGTTTTTGTAGTAATCGTAACAGTGGCAACGGAAAAGTGACTAAGCAAAGATCAATATGTGAAAAGCTCGTAGGCAATGGATCAATGATGGATAATTATGTTGGATGCGATTCCTCATGCAATAGTTATAACATAGGGTGACACAGAACTAGCTCCAGTTCATAAATGTAATGTAGGCATGTATTCCGAATATAGGCATAAGTGCTTATGGAAAAGAACTTGCATGACATCTTTTGTCCTACCCTCCCGTGGCAGCGGGGTCCTATCGAAAACTAAGGGATATTAAGGCCTCCTTTTAATAGAATACCGGACCAAAGCATTAACACTTAGTGAATACATGAACTCCTCAAACTACGGTCATCACCGGGAGTGTTCCCGATTATTGTCACTTCGGGGTTGCCGGATCATAACACATAGTAGGTGACTATTGACTTGCAAGATAGGATCAAGAACTCACATATATTCATGAAAACATAATAGGTTCAGATCTGAATTCATGGCACTCGGGCCCTAGTGACAAGCATTAAGCATAACAAAGTCATAGCAACATCAATCTCAGAACATAATGGATACTAGGGATCAAACCCTAACAAAACTATCTCGATTACATGATAAATCTCATCCAACCCATCACCGTCCAGTAAGCCTACGATGAGATTACTCATGCACGGCGGTGAGCATCATAAAATTGGTGATGGAGGATGGTTGATGATGACGACGTCGACGGATTCCCCTCTCCGGAGCCCCGAACGGATTCCAGATCAGCCCTCCCAAGAGAGATTAGGGCTTGGCGGTGGCTCCGTATCGTAAAATGCGATGAATCCTTTTCTCTGATTTTTTCTCCCTGAACGTGAATATATGGAGTTGGGGTTGAGGTCGGTGGAGTCCCAGGGGCCCCATGAGGTAGGGGGCGCGCCCTGCACCCTCGTGGACAGGGTGTGGGCCCCCTGATGCTGATTCTTTCGCCGATATTTTTCTTTTATTCCAAAACGTGTCTCCGTGGATTTTCAGGTCATTCCGAGAAATTTTATTTCTACACAAAAATAACACCATGGTAATTCTGCTGAAAACAACGTCAGTCCGGGTTAGTTCTATTCAAATCATGCAAGTTAGAGTCCAAAACAAAGGCAAAAGTGTTTGGAAAAGTAGATACGTTGGAGACGTATCAACCGACGTGTTGTTGTTGTCACTCCTATATCAGAGTCGGCTTGACCTTGTCAAGTATAGCCAACAAGTCTTCATGAAAGTTCCCCCAGCGACTGGCACCTTGGGGCCGCAGTCATCGCCGTTTAATCCTTTAATAGATCAGAAGCACCTGACACTAAATCTTGCCACATGCTGAGAAACCCTATCCTCACTGCCATAACAAGACGACAGGAATCTATGCTGGAGCTCCATCGACTACATCGAAGAAGACGTACTCGAGGAGGATTGGAGCATGGAAGACAAACTCAAAGAAGAAGTGTCGCCATGCGCCCGAGCACTGAAAGGGCAAGACTAAAAACCCTAACTTAAACTACTAACAAGAGCGGAGCTACCTAGATTCCCCTCACAGCCACCAGCCGTCAGAGTGGCAGGCAGAAAGGAGACAAATCCACGGGCTTGCCAACGAAGTCTGGAGGGGAGAGTTTGTCCTATCTGCCAAGGGATAGGAAAGGAAAACAATCTCCTTTTCCTTGGCGTGCTCTGCTATGAAAGTAGTTGATCAATAAGTTTCTACACTTTCCTTAAGGGTGTTGAATTACGTACTAGAGCTATAACTAAGTCACTCACCTAAATATACTACGAGTTTCAGCTGTACTAGACTAGTAGTATTCCATGATAGCCAAAAAATAGGAATTACATTTCTAAGATGCTTCAATAGAACAATTCCAGTTGCAATATTATTACTTGGTGCACAATTAGAGATATTCATTTATGAAACCAGAGCAAGTATTTAACATCACCCAACCATACGCTTCTCCTTCGGTGGGAATAAAAAAGAATATTTATCTCAATGAAAAATATCGGGATTCATTTTTTTTCTTTCATATATTTATCTCATTAAAAATTGTTGAGTGCTCGCTCGATGAGGGAGCTCTGATTGAACAGATGCTTTCGACCATTATTTTCTACTCCCTCCGTCCCAAAATAAGTGTCTTAACTTTGTACTAACTTTAGTATAAAGTTGTATTAAGGTTGAGACACTTATTTTAGGATGGAGGGAGTACAATTTAGGACTATTATTCAAACTCATGAACATTCTTTCAAATTCATGAACATCTTCCAAGTTTGTGAACATTTTTTTAAAAATTGTGATCATTTTCAAGTTCATGATTTTTTTAGTTTGGAATCTAATTTGCAAATATATTTCTAGTTTGCAGATTTTGTGTCAAACTCGTTAATATTGCGTCAATGTGCGAGAAAAATCAAACTGGCGAACATTTCAGAAATTATGAACATTTTTTGAATTACTGAACTTTTTTAAAAATTCACGAAGCTTTTCCAAATTAATATTTTTTAATGCCATAGTATTTTTTTCATATTCACGAATAAGTTTTAATTTCTCTAACATTTTTTCACATTCACAATTTTTTGTAAATTCACAAACATTTTGTAAAGTTCATGAATTTTTTATGTAATTCGTGATATTTTTTAATTCTCTAATATCTCATCATATTCGTTAACACTTTTTTGAGTACAATAACATTTTTAAACCCGTGAACATTTATCGAGTTCATGAAGATTTTAAAAATTTGCAACCATTTTATTAGTTTTCATTTTTTCATATTCATGGACATGCCTTGTATTTGTATGAACATTTTGTAATTCGCTAATTTCTTTATATTTGCTAACACTTTTGAATTCAAAGTCTTTTAAAAAAATTGGAAACATTTTTCATGTTTGTGAGCATTTTTTAATTCATTAATGTTTTGAATTCATAAGTATTTATTTAAAATTTATGAACATTGTTTTGAGACTAATTTTATTGTGCTACTATTAAGCGTGAGCTTAATAAAGCAAGTCACGCACTTGTTCTCCTAAAACTGTTGTGTGGTTAAGATGCGCCCCGTGATGAGATTGACCTGTTGTGCAATGAACCTGTTTGAAGTAATAGAAGTGTTTTATTCGCACAAAAAATGACGTGCTAGTATGTTTTTTTTTCCTCGCCTATTGCTACCGAGCGTATTTGTTGGGTCGGCTTAATTATACTGTGTTGGTGAGCGACCCGACGGCTACCAACCACTCCGACGGGTAGTATTTTATGGGCTGTGCTAGGCTGGGTTGGGCCGCATTGCTTTCGGGGCCGAGCAGCCATCCAGCTTCTTCTTTCTCTACAAAATAGTCCCATCCCAGACGAAAAACATTCCCCACCCACCCGCTACCGCTAGGGTTCCTCCTTCCCTTCCCCGCCGCCGCCGGCCATCGCCGGCCGGCGAATCGGAGAAGACGCCGCGACTATCCCGTTCCCGGAGCCGCCTCCACTCGCCACCGCCCTCTCCCCGTCACCAGGCCTCATCCATCCAACGCCTCGACGCCAAGGTACCCTCCCCTCCCCTCCCTCATGCGCCTCTCTCCCCCCTCCCTACGCACTGTCTCGTCTCCATGTGTGTGCTGTGCCTGCGCGTCATGGCCGTGTGTGTGTGATCCGTCTTGTGCGCGAGCTACTAGTGCATGCTATGGGTATTTATTTATATAAATGGCTAATAAACTGCTCGCATTTCGTACTAGTGCATGCTCTGTTTAGTGTTTATATAAACTGAAAATTTGACTGTTTGATTTGGTACTAGCCAGCCAACTGCTAGTGTGTATCTATTCTGCTTATATAAATGTGCAAATTTGACTGCTCGATTGGGTAAAGACATGAACTGCTAATGCTATTTTCATATACCACTAGTGTGTGTATTCTGCTTTTAGAAAAGTGCAAATGTGACTGCTCGTTTGTGAAAAGGCATCAACTGCTAATGGTATTTTCATCTGCCACTAGTGACGCTGCTCATACTCATAGTGATCTCTTTATATATAAATGTGTAATTTCCAGCTACAGCCAGCCGGAGCCCTTGCAGCTGCAGCACGGACAACCACACCCTAACCCAGCGACCAAGAAGCCCAGGCCAGCGACGATCCATCATCGATGGCCGCGGTTCGACACGCAATGAGGAGGCTCGGCGGCTCCCTGCTCTGGCCAACGGCCACCTCACCGGCAGCGGCGGCGCCAAGGCGGCTCACGCACAGCGAAAGCTTGGCCTCGGAGCAAGCTCGTCACGAGGAGGTGCTGCGCAAGGTCCAGCAGAAGACGGACGAGCTGTACGATGTGTTGTGCGAGGTGGAGCGGGACTTCTGCACGAGCAGCTGGCGCAACACGCGCATGCTCCAGCACCTCTCCATGAGGGTCACGCCGAGGCCGTGGGACTGGAGGTGGCGCATCCGGCGCTTCAACAGAAGGTTTCACAATGTGGCAGAGCTTGCCGGGTTTATCTCGCTCTACTTCGGCTTGGAGGCGCTGAAACAAGAAGTCGAGGAAAAGGAAAAGCATGCGGCCGAGGCAACGACGGCGTCCTGCCCGATCGACTGAGAACCAACCAAAGATCCATCAAGGACGAGTAGGAGAGGCGATAACATTATCTTGCATTGCGTTACGACGGACAACCAAAGACGAGATGGTGATCTTGTCTAGTGTTATCTAATTTGGTAGCTATCTTTTGTGACCGGTATTGTCTTGTGTGACATGGTACTAAGTTGTTATATCCATGAAACCATGACTTGTTTTGGTTATCTGCGAATGCACCAAACCCTAGTTAAATGTTAAATGTGTATGGATTCTCCATCGAGCTGGATTTTATAGGAGAGTTGGTTCTTTAACCAAGCATGATTCTCCACCAACTGGTCATGTATATATTCTTTAACCAAGCATTGTGTGAGCTGAACATTCATATATAGGAGCACTTGATGCAAACATATATATACTATTAGTATGGCTAGCTAGCTTGAATGTTAACCGTCCAGTGCTTCGCGCTCCAGGTATCAGACTCTATGTGCCATAATTGTGGAGAGCCTAGTTTTGAATTCTGAAGCAAAACTATCTACAATAATATACTATTACTGAAGCAGCTAATTCCGCACATGTTATTTCAGGTCCAAAGTTGATTGTTAGCATGGATGTGTCTAATTTTTCAACTCATATTTCTTATGGACGTGATTGTGGAGCACAACCTGATATCCAAGGATGTCACGGGGCTCCTTA